TATTTTTGGTGTGGGTGTGGGGGTGGTTGGGGGGGTGGTGGGGGTGGGGGGGGGGGAGCAGCATCGTTTATCCCCCCAGCCAATTCCAACAGTGGGAGCCCCCACCAGGCCCCCTGGCCATCCTCACACCCACTTTTATAGTAATAACCTTTTACAAGAAATCAACGTGAGATTATGGTCCCTGAGCACATCCAGAGTGTTTATTGTTTTAAGGAAGGGTTTAAAGCCCTTATCCAACCATTTCAATTCAGACTGTGAAAACGGTAACAACGGGGAAATAGGTAGCAATGGGCAACAATCAAAAGCATTTCACATATATTCTTCCAGGAGTCTTTACTCTTCTTGTTCCAATCTTCCAAATGGGGTGCTTGCATAAATTCTGTTCAGGGTGTTTATAAGACTGAAAGCAGGAGCTTTCCTAAATAACGCGTCTCTTGGCCTCCTACTCTACGCAACCCTTTGCACAATCTGAACACCTTTCTTCTAGAAGGTGGTGAGACGGAACGGCAACAGGGAGCCCACCATCTCTAGCTTAGGCTAGTTGATGGGTTTGGATAAGCTCAGAAACAGCGCAGCCATCTCCTCGTGCCCCAGCCGCCCTCGCCCGGGGATCATGGGAAGCATCGATCTGAACTCACGGTGCGCTGCAGCCTCCACCAACTTCTGCAACGCCTCTTTCTCCGGCAAGTAGAGAATATTCAGGTCCGCAAACGCGGCCATCTTCCATCCACGTGGGGACTGCCGGAGCAAAAAGAAAACAAGCCTTGCGCCTTTAAGTTGCTTTGCATGTTGGGAAATGTAGTTTTTTAAACTTCGTTTCCCAAGATCGCCTAGCGTTCGTTTCTCGCGGAGCGCGAAGGAAAGCAGCGCACGAGCGGGGCTCGGAGTTACTGGGTTAGTTTTAAAAATAAGGAAAGGAAAAAGAAAAATGTCATTTGTGTATATTCGGCAGGGAGTTGGTGGCTCTTTCAGCCTTTAACAGCGCCTCTCCAGTTAACAAGTAAACCAGCGTTTCTCAACCTTACCGACTGTAAGCTGTGTGGACTTCAACTCCCAGAATGCTGGCTGGGGAATTCTGGGAGTTGAAGTCCACACATCTTAAAGTTGCCAAGGGTGAGAAGCACTAAAGTAAATGAATCCAAAAGCTGCAGCTGGGTAAGGCTTTGTGGTGGAGCATCTAAAATGTTGCAGGAGAGTGGCACACTTTCAGATGTTCTCGAATTCTCCATCGGGCAAGAAGTTGCAAAAAGAAGAAGACCCCACAAATTAGGCCAGGTGTTCTAACCATGCCTCATGGTCTGTGAGGTTTGCTGTTCAAAGTTAGTCTGAAGTTGTGGATTGAATGCAGGGTCAGTGTTCGGTGCTGCTTGCCAGAGTCCACGGAGCGCTCAGAGGCAAAGCTTATGGTTGTTTCCCTCCGCCGACCAGGAGTTTTAAAAACACGGAGGCTAATCCCAATTTACTTCCTCCCAAACAGGATAAATAAATGAAACCTGATGGACAGAGTAGCCAACTGCTTCCAAGTGCCTGAGAAGAAATAATAGTAATTACCTGTACATGTCAAGAGAGCAAGTACTCCGAAGTCCAGATGCAGAGTGACCCCAAGATGATGCTCTGTCACTCTGCACACACGGCAGTGGAACGACAAGCACAGTTTGTCTGGAATCCTGGTTTTCAGCTTCTTTAAAGGCTTCTTTGTGAAAACCCTTATCTGGAATCCAAGTTCTCACAGCCGCTCCATGAGTGACTTGTATGTTTCGTAACCTCGTAATAACACCATCCCTCCATCTGTAGTAATAGATCTCATTCAGACAGGAAATCAGAAGGTTTCTTTCTGTAGATGAAACCCAATGAAATTTCTCTGCCAGATCCCAAGACCCCATTCGAGAATCCCTGCCCTGTTAATTTCAACCAGAGCCACCCCCTCCCTGGTCATATATGGAGAAATATATATATATCGATTCCTTTTTCTGAGGCAGCTGACTGCAAATTTTTACAGGATCGGTTTGGCCAAATCTGGACAGAAGTCTATATCACACCTGTATCAATTAAAAAGAAAAAGAAAAAACAGTTGTAGCACGTCGAAGTTGGGCTGTGTTTGGCCTGTTTTACTGAAATTATCTTTCCTCTGTTCCCATAACTAACCTGAAAGGTATTGCTAAGCTTTTCAAATTACTTTCACACATTTCTGCTGTGTAGGGCCCAGAGAAAGATGCACCGGCAGTTTACAACCCGTGTAAAACCAAAACAAAATATTCACATCCACAGATGGTGTCTTTGCCTTAGGGGAGAGCGGACAAGTTGTTTCTCTAAAACAGGTTCTTGATCATGATTGAGAGTGATTTTTTTCAGTGCGCAAAATGGCCTTGCCTGTAAAACCCAGAAACAGAATACAAATTGTTGTGCTTTCTTCAGTGCTGCATCGACACTCTTCTATTTCATGGCCTTGTCATTCTCCATCAATGACTTCATCTTTATTTATGTATTCCTTTGCATTGTATTGTGGGTGAAATTTTAGCAATCAAAGTATAGTAAACCAAATAATTATAATACAATAAGGGTTGTTGTACAAAATACAACAAAGTACAAAATAATGAGGAACATTTATTTATTTAATCATTAAATTTGTATGCCACCCGCCTCCCAGGGACTTTGGGCAGTTCATAAGTGAAAAACGCAGACAAATGACAATAAAACAATGCAACAGTAAAGACAAAAACAAAAACCAAGGAACAAAACATGGCAAAAATAAGAAATAGACTCACGCCATCCAGAAGGGCTTCAGGTACCTTAGCCAAGGGTCTGGATGAAGAGTCAAGTCTTCAAGGCTTTAGTCTTGAACTTCAACTAACTAAATAAAAAAGATCCATATAATATTAATACAGAATTAGTTCAATCCTTTACTATATTATTATTTCTAGACCATATAGACTGTCAAATCCCACATAGCTGGCAAGACCAAGGAGGCAAAAATGTCATGGATTTCAGGAAGATATGTTTGATGCTGCTTCTTTTTTTTTTTTTTGGTGTCTTCAAGTCAGTGTTGACTCCTGGCCACCGCCTGGCCTAGTCCCTGCAATTATCTTGGCAAGGGTTTTCAGAAGTGGTTTGCCATCTCCTTCCTAGGGCTGAGAGAGAGAGTGTCTGGCCCAAAGTCACCCAGCTGGTTTTGTGCTTCAGGCAGGACTAGAACTCCCCATCTCCTGATTTCTAGCCAGATGCCTTAACCACTACACCAGACTGGCGCTCATCTTTGAAGCTAGTTTGTGGTAAAAACAGAATCTTGAAAACTATAAGAGGAATTCCTGCTGTGTGACATGGCATGAGATCCTTAATTTCATTATCAGATGGGCAGTAGAGTACTCAAGGCATATAGAGCTTAAGGACTTTAATGGGTGATGTTGCATATGCAGCAGCTCAGAAGTTCTTGGCTACCTTACAACCATGGTCCTGACTCAAATTATTGAAGACCCAACACAGAGTAGAATTCGCACATTAGATCTGGGTTTTGACTCCAGACAATTGTGACATGATCTGTTGGTAGAGGACTTTACCATTGGTCCTTTGCTGTGGTCTGATCACTCTCTGTTTTTGGGCTTATCAGCACTGCTTCCCATCCTACCCCTGGCAGGGTAGCAGGAATTATTAACAAACCAGGCAAATGATGGAGCCTAATGGGTCCTAGAGAGAATTTGGGGTTTTCTCTGAGGATCTGGTGGGTAGTTTGACTGAGACCTTAGTCACTATATGGAATGAACATGCCTTGGATTGATTGCTCATTGTCCATCGGTCCTCAGGTGTTCCTCTGAGGAACTCCAGGGGATGAAACACCAGCAGAGATGCCTAGAGTGCCATTGGAGGAAAATGAAGTGTGAACCAGACCAAGCACAAGTATGAGCCCACGTTAGGGATTATACTATATCAATAAAAGCAGAAAAACAAAGTTATTTTTCTGCTGTTATATTTGCCAGTCACCCTAGCAGCACTCCTTAAGGTGATCCATTTCTTGGTGGGGAAGAACAAGCCGCAGGACCATCTGTAGGGCTGTTGGAAAGAATGTCTTAGACTGTCCTCCGGAAGTTGCTCAGATTTGTTCAGAATTGGACTCTGATTGGCAAATTGTACTGAGATGTTGGAAGCATGGTCATGTATGTTTACCTGGGATGAATTTGAGTCTGTAAGTCCTGAAGAAGTGGGCCTTCTCTGTCATGGTGCATGCCTTTTGGAACAGCATCCCCCAGAGATTCATGTGGCCCTTTGCTTAATCTCATTCAGATGAGCCCTTAAAATCTAGCTGTACAAGCAGGATCTGGTTAGGTTAGGTGGCGGGTCCTTGTGGGAATGCTGTAAGGTGAGAAGATGTTGGTTTTACTTCTTCCAGATGTTTCACTATCTTCTTCTTTATTGTAGTTGTTAATTAGTCTTTAATACTGTACACCACCAGAGTTGCTATGGAGTTGGGTTGCATTACAAAATTGATAAATAAATAATAAATAAATGTGAGTCAAAGAGCCCTCAAATTTTTGTAATACCTGATGATTTCATTTTAAGTAAGCCTGCTCAGGGTGAGTTCCAGTCTTAGGATTAAAACACCGTAGAGGAAACACAAAGTGGTGAGAGAATGTAGCACATTCAGCAGTTTGAAGCAAAAGGCTGAATGCTAATTGAGTGACCTTTTTCAATACCCACCTTTCCCCCTTTTTGGAGTCCTGGAAACAAGTAGGTCCTAATGCAAAATACAGTAGTCATTTGAGAGAGGGACAGGATGGAAACTATCAGGAGACAAAGAGGTCAGCAACGCAAATTGTCTTGAAACTGACACAAATTCTACTCCGAGTTGGTAAGTGCTGATTGCCAAGATAACGTATGGCCAAGCATCTGCTTGTATGAGGATTAAAACAGTTAATTTACAGAAATCATACATTTTCTTCCTCAGTTTTGGGTACAGGAGAAGATATCAGTTAATACCTGTCCATGTGGAAAAGACTTACTTCTTGTTTGAGTTAAGCCCAACCAAATAAATTAAGCCCTTAATTTAACTCCCTTTTGTTTTCTAGGGAAAACATTGGATGCTTTGGGCAATTTTTTTTGCGGGCTAGAAAGGCCTGTCCTCCATTATTGCCATGACTGCTTTGGTCTTCTGGGGGAAGACAAGTTTGGCTTTGTTTTCAATTCCCATCCTTTGCTAGAAATACAGAAGGAATGTTTTGGTATGATCCCATGTTAGAAGGAAATGGAATCCTTTGAAGACCAAGCTGCCCATATATGGGGCTATACAAAAAGTTATGGGCCCTGATCTTTTTGCAGTCAGACATAAAATGGATACCTCTCAAAGTCTTTGCTCTTAACCAAAGTCAATGAACTGCCCATGACCTGCTCTTCTTCCTCATATTATCGTTAGCTGTGGTTTTCCTACATTCCAGATGTCAAAGAATAGCTTTAACTGATACTTCAAATCCTCCTCACCAGTTCTTGAAGGCTATTGTTTATTTATTTATTTATTTTAAAAATGGTGAATCATTTGAGCTGTTAGTAATGCGCGCAGGATCATACATGTCACACACACCGAAGCTCTTGGACACAGATATGTGTTTTCCTTCAGTATTTTCCCCTTTCTTCTGTTAAGGGCTAGGGTTTTGAGTGGCTAAACTTGGGTTAGGTGGCCTGCAGTAATCAGCAGTAGGGATCTGTGAACCAGTATAAATCTGACTTGTTCTACGGTCCACATTAGTAGGAT